CTGCCATCAAGTCAATTCCAACTCATAGTGACTCTATAGTACAGAGAACTGTCTCATAGGGTTTCCAGGGCTGTAAATCTTTATGGAAGCAGACTGTCCTCATCTTTGTCCTGTAGAGTGGCTGGGGGTTTGAACTGCTGACCTTTAGATTAGTAACCAAATGCCTTAACCACTGCACCACCAGAGCTCCTAAGAAATTAAGACGATACAATGAAACATTTTAATATTTGGGTATATTATGTGCACCTTGCTAAAAATTGATTAATGTGAAAAGTTAAAGGCTATATGATATGTATATTAATTAATTTGATTAATGTGAAAATATTACTGTCAGCATCATGAAACACTTAGCAGCTAGTTATCTTGGGATTAAATCCAACCAACTCAAATCTGGGAGTAAACACATGTATTTTCTGTTATTCATACTTGCATATTTTTCTTAAATTTAAATAATCTAATGGGTGAAGAATATTAAAGGTACCACGGACTGCCAGAAGAACAAACAAATCTATCTTGGATGAAGTACAGTCGGAATGTTCCTTAAAAGCAAGGATAGTGAGAATTCATCTCACATACTTTGGACCTGTTATCAGGAGGGACCCATCCCTGGAGAAGGTTAGCGTCACTGGTGAGGTAGAGGGTCAGTGAGAAAGGAAGAGCCTCAACCAGATGGATTGACACAGTGGGTGCAATAATGGATTCAAGCATAGGAACAGTTTTGAGGACAGTGCAGCACCAGGCAGTGTTGCGTTCTGTTGTACACTGGGTTGCTGTGAGTCAGAACCGACTTAACAGTACCTAGAAACAACAACAACAACAGTCTTGTTTGGATAATACTGCTGACTTCTACTTACAGTTATTATTTATTCTAATACAGCAAACTAAAAGGCCTTTAGTAAATCATACTGAAAAATTAGAAAAACATTTATTATAAATAATTTAAATATTAGAACTGGAATTGATACAGTTTTGTTCAAAGTCACAATAGTTGATAGTGACTTTAAGAAGAATTTCTTTAAAATTGGAAGATGGGTTCACAATTCTAATGGGCTTTTTGTGTACATCTCTAAATAAGTGTGTGTGCCCCTACTTCCTTGGTTATGTGACAGTACAAAGGAGACTAATTTCTGAATATTTATTACATCAGTATTTCAATTTTGTGGGAAGATGCAAAAGGTGCAATGAAGAAATTAACATAGTCTCAATAAATTGGGCATATAATGTGATCCTATGGAGAACCACTTCTCTGGTACAGAATTATAGTTATTTTCTAATATTTACTTCAAAATAAAATTTAAATATCTGAAGTTATAGTTGTGATAAAAAGAAATTCACTTTAAAGCATGAGTCTTGCATTATTATATAGAAAGCACTCTCCCACAGCAAACTGTAGTGCTCCTGGAAGTATAGACAAAGAATGTGAAAAAGTCATTATTTCCCAAAGCAAATATCCATGGAAACAGGGAATTATGTATATAAAGATTGTGTAACATAATTTAGGGAATATTTACAGAATTATAAAATTCTAAGAAAATGTTTACCCTCATTTCTAAAGAACATTAACTTGAAAAAAAAATGTGGGCATTAACTGGTAAATAATACTTCATTTTTTCTAGCGCAGATCCAACTAATCAGTTGCAGGGTTAATTTCTCTCTGTGAATGGCCAGAATACAAAAACTCAATCATAAACCCTCAGTAAAAAAGAAGTTTTCCCTTGAAAACTTGGAATTTTACATGAAGTAGTCATCTTATCTGAACTGAAAAGTGAAACATTAAAAAAATTTAGGACCCATTTACCTTCCTATACCTGTTTAGCTGTGTGTCTTATGTATCCACTTGTAAATTATTGTTACTACTATAATTGCAGGATTGTGTATGTATTTACCGTTTTTTGCCTTTAACTCTGATGCTCCTCACAGTGTCTTCCTTTGCCTTGACTACACCCATGAATGGGAGCTCTGGTGGCATAACGCCTAAGGCACTTGACTGCTAACCAGAAGGCTGGTAGTTCAAACCCACCAGCCACTCCTTGGAAGGAAGGTTGGGCAATCTACTTCCCAAGGAGGGGTCACTATAAGTTGGGTCCGACTCAGTGGCACGTAACACCACCACCACCCACAAATGTATGCATGTTTGACAGAGGATATTTTGGCATATGTATCTATATGTGCTGCATATATATCCATGAATATAGACGAGCATATAGGGTTGTTGTTGTGTGCCGAGTCGGACCCGACTCCTAGTGACCCCACCTTGGGTTTCTGAGGCAAAGCTATAAAAACTTCTTAGCCATAATTAAACACTTGGAGGGAATAAGTCACAGGGCTTGTGGGGGGGGCGGGCTCAGGACCATCATCTAGGGGACATCATGATCAATTGTCCACGAAGACAATGTAGTGATTTGGGTCTTAAAAGCTTATAAGCAGCCATCTAAGGATAACTATTGGTCTCTCCCCATCTGAGAACAAAGAAGGATGAAGACAATCAAAGATGCATAGAAACAATGAATCCAAAGGACCATGTAAACCCTAGCCACCACAACCTTGAGACCAGAAAAACTAGATAGTGCCTGGCTAACACTGCCAACTGCCCTGAAAAGAATAACAATAGTAGGTCCTGGATAGAGTGGGAGAAAAATGTGGAACAAAACTCAAAATCCTAAAAAAGACGAGTCTTACTGGTCTGATAGCCCTAAGACTATAGCCCTTAGCTATCCCTCAAACCAACCTGTGGCTCAACTTTCAGCCAAACAATAGACAGGTCTATAAGGTGAACATGAACACCAGGGAGGGATGCACTTCTTAGAACAATCAACCATAGGAGATCAAAAGGGCAGCATTTGGCAAGGGGAAAAGCTCAGAGGACAGGAAGGGACAGAAAACAAGGACAAATGGAAACAGTAAACACAGGGAGGGAGTGGAAAGAGTGATGTCACATTATTAGGATTGTAATCAATGTCATGAAACAAAATGTGTATGAACTGTTGAATGAAAAACTAATTTGCTCTGTAAACTTTTACCCAAATCACAATTAAAAGTTTTTTTAAAAAAATTAAGAAATCTAATTAACATCCTAATTTTTAAAACAAATATTATAGACCTTTAACAACCTATTTTTAAATACCTAAATTTTAGTATAAAAAATCTGAAATCAAGCATATTGTGTGCTACTTTTCATGACAGTAAACACAAGTAGCAGAAATGGAAAAGAAATAAAAATAGTAACTTAAAAAGTAGCAGAACAGAAAATCTCTTAATTGCATTACATGCACACATTCTTGAGCAATCTTTACAAATTAAATAAAAAATATATTTAAGTTTCATGAAGATAACCATTAGAAATCTATTTTTTAAATCGAATCACTGTAATTTCAGATGATTTCTGTATTCAGTAGCTACCAAAATGCTTTAAAGATAATGAATTTAAAAAGCATTTCTTCCCTTTTCCTCCCCTCAACCACAAATATGAAAATTTTTGAGCAAGGCATTTTTTCTTACATAACTTGCATTTTGCAACAAACTAAAAAAAAAATCAGCAAAATTATCAGAAGTCTTAAGTACAAACTAATTTTTTAAAAAAACCAAACACCACCAAAAATAAAGTATGAAACTATTTTCTTTTTAACCAAAATACCAAGTATTTTAAACTTTGTATAAATAACACAAAATATTTTAGGTATGGTGTCTAAAATGGAGTAGCATTAAAACACACAACAACAAAAAAACAACCCTTTATACTTAATTGAAAATATGAATGTTATCATTTTCCTTAAAGGTATACATTATAAATTTTTTTTACTGGCATTCCTGTAAAAGAATAAAGTTAGTAATTATACTTTTCCCAGTTTACTCTCTAAAAGAATCTCTTACAAAAAGGAAATCTCTTCCAAAACTGAACAGAGATTTTTGAAACCCCTCAAATATATAGTCTCTAGAAAAAAATGCTGAATAAGAATTGAAATTTCTTATCAACTATGCATTTTAATGAGATTGTGCATTTTTAAAAGGTAATCTATGCTTAAATTGAATGAATGACCACGAATGCCAGGGACTGATGAAAAATCTTACTGGTGGCCAACAGATCAAAGATGACAATGGTCTTAGCATGCTAAATCTCAAAATTTTAAGTGAAAACTATTCATGTAGTCTTAGAAAAATTAGGAGATAGTTCTATTTAAAAAACACACCACAAACAAAGACAAGGGAAACAAATAAGAAAATAGATTTGTCTTATTTCTTTGTAAGCTTGTTCCACTTCAAAATGTATTCTTTAGGGTCATGGAAATGTCCCATATAAATAAAACTAGACATTTGTTCCCTTCACTTTGAAAAATATTTACAGTACATGGAACAAGCTGAAAGCACACCATCTGCTTATATTGCTGGCCACTGATGTACATGAAGAACACAAAAGTGCTTATCTATTTATCTGAACATCTTAATTTGTTTATATGGTGAAGCTGTTGTAGATAAACTATGAAAAAATTAGAAAATATTATTAATGAACACCAGCCCTTGTGGACAACATTACACAAGATGCCAAGGTATTATACATTCACTGTGATAAAAACTGTACATACTTATCCTGTGCCTCTCTAACATGGCAAATACAATTTTTTCATCTCTCAAAAAAATCTGAGTTGAAAAGTATTTCTTTTGCCCAAGAAGGGTGATGATAATTGACTTATTTTGTTGTTGTTGTTATTTGCCGTCGAGTTGGCCCCAACTCATAGCGACCCCTCCTTGGGTTTCCAAGGCAGTATCACTATGGAGGTCCATTAAATTTTTTATAAAATTTCCTGCTAAGGACTTTTCATCAGTGTTTTTTACTGGTGTCCTCATGGAAAAAATGCATTAAACTTTGAAAGTTTTGATGGGATATTTTCACATCTTTGCTGGCAAGCATTCCGATCTATGTAGTAGCAGTAGTCCACAGCAATGTCAAGTGTAAAACTTCATTCTGTGAGTCTGCTTTGGTTTCAGAGTACAGTTCATTTCTTTCATCCAGCCATGCTATCCCTTATTCGATCCACTCGAAGAGCTAGGTCCCTGAAGGAAGGGCGCTGATTTACATTATTGTTCCAGCACTGTGTCATGATCATATAAATCTGTGGAAGAGAAAATAAGCCCAAATTACAGTGAGCATGAAGTGCCACCTTCTAACTGGAGGAATACAATAACTTGGGACTCCTACTTAATTGTCCAATGCAGGGCATGCCATAGACATGCTTAGATCTGATGATAGTGTTTATCTAAAAGCTCAGCAAATTAAATTTTATAAAGTAGCCTGAAATCTTTGGATAAAAAGAAAAATAAAATGCACAATTATTGTGGATTAAAATATTTTTTGTTACCTCATCTGAGCATCCCTCTGGTCTTGGTAATCTCCCATTATTCTTCAAGAGTTCTATCAAATGGAACACAATCATCTGTCCTTGTTTGTCATTGCCGATCATACGCATAAATTCCTGAAACACAAACCCACTTTTGATGAGACTTTTTTTTACATTTAACTTGAAGTATAATTTTCCCCAACGTCCCCAGTAAATGGGAAATATTCTACCTAGGTTTGTTTTCTCATGTTTTTGAAACATTTCAAAACAGACTATTTTAAGGATCAAAAACTTCCATTTCAGACATATTTCAGAGACTAGTATTAGATATAGAATCTGTGTAATGCCATTTCCTTAATTAATACACTACCAATTCCCTGAGAAGAGCCCCCAAATTTAACTAAAAACATATTTACTTTTTTTTGTTGTTAACATATATCACAGTACATTTCAGTTGAAATAAAAAGATGAATGCAAAAGGGAACGTAAAAAAAAAGACTATGCAGAATGAATAAGTATAAACGCAATGGAGAAAAAACTTTCATTCAAAACAATCAAAATCATTACAGGAGGGGTAAAAAGGGACTTTAACTGTGTCCACAATATTTAATTAAAGACATAGACATTCTGAACAAACATGGCAATAAATAAGCATTCATTCACCCACTTAAAAAAAAAGAAAATAATAAAAGCTAAGGCAATATTTATAATAAACATATCACTTACATATTTTAAATTTAGGGCCCTTATAAATTGGTAAGAAAAATTACAAATATGAAAATAGGCAAAGCATATGAGGAAACAATTCACATGCATACACACCCAACATCCAATAAACACTTATTCACACTAGTAAGATCAAATGAAATATCACTTCTATCAATATGGTAAAACTGAATAAAAACATAATGGCAAATACTGGCAAATGATGAAATGTACACTACTATGCACTGATATCAATCAAAAATGTATTCTGGTATACCTTTTCTGGAAAGTATTTGAAATAAGAACTTTAAAAAGAGTTCATAACCTTTCTAACATGATAACCAGAGAGAAACATAAATATTTATGTATAAGGATATTCACTCTGTTCACTAAAGGGTTACTTAAGAGTGAATAATGGAAAATTATTGTCCAGAATACATATACTTATGATGGAATGATACTCAGCAATTAGAAATCATATTAGTAGTAAATATTTACTAATATAGGAAACTCTTGGGTTTCCGAGGCAGAAAATCTTTACAGAAATAAATTGCCCCATCTTCTTTCTGCAGAGCAGCTGGTGATTTTGAACCACCAACCTTCTGGTTAGCAGTCAAATGCCTTAGGCATTACACCACCAGAACTCCACATAGGAAAATACCTATGCTGTAATACTTTGTAAAAAGGCAGCATAGCAGACTGTACAGTATGACCTTAATTTTCAGAATATATATATATATATATATATACATATATATATATATATATATGTATATATATGAAATTTCACTTTTATGTAAAATAAAAAAGCCTGGAAGAGAACATACCACAATATTAAAAGTGGTTATCGCTGAATGAAAGGTAAGTTTTATTTCTTTTTCCATACTTTCTCACATTAAAAAAAATTCTACAATATTTAAGAAAAATTACTATAAAAGTTTAACTTGTACAATAATTCCTAGAATGAATGAGCTTACTGATTTTACTAAAAATAGTATTAAGAGAATATACTAAACAATGTTCCAACTCTTTTTTCAACAATGTAAGTCAATTTAATGAGTAGTAATAATAAATTTTTATTTCTTAATGAAATAAAGTTTATGGCTTATTTGGATGTTAACTTACAGATGAACAATAAGAGGCTTTAAAATTACCCCTACGCTTATTATTAGTCTTTGCTTAAACATCCTTTCTCATGTTAAAAAAAAAAAAAAATGAAGAGTCACTGAAAAGCACACTGACCGCGGGTGGACTTTTACTCTTCTCAATATACGTGAAAAGCTCATACAGAACCACGCCAAAGCTCCAAACATCTGAGGCCACAGAAAACTTGCTCTCAGTCAGTGATTCTGGGGCATACCTGTAATACATGCAAGGCATTTAAAAGACAGTTACTTGATATGCCAACTTTTGATTTTACCTGTAAATCATTGGATAAAGAAAACAAAAGTATGCAGAAAAATTAAGATGGCAGGCCAGAGGCTTCTATGAGTAGAAAGGCCCCTTTGCAACATACGTGCCCATCAACAGAAGAACAGATAACCAAACTGTGGTACGTACACACAATGGAATACTATGCAATACTAAAAAATAATGTAGAATCTGCAAAATACTTCATAACATGGATGAACTTGGAGGACATTATGCTGAGTGAAATAAGTCAATCACTGAAGACAAATATAGTATTAGTTTATTATTGTAAAAAGTCAAGGAAGGGTTTATATATGGAAGGAAACTTTCTTTGTTGGTTACAAAGGGTGGGAGGGAAGGGTAGGGAACACTGCAAAAGAAAAAAAAAAAAGCATTGGTCCATGAAAAAAAAAAAAAAAAAAAGGCCACTTTGCAATGCTGACACCTTTGGCTGGTGCTGGAAGTTAGATTTCAGGAGGGTTTCTTGAATTACAGAATTAGTAAGCAATGAGCAACCATGTACCTATCACCCAGCTAACCTCATTGTTCCTCTTATGTCATATATTACTCCTCTCCTAACTCACTGGATTTATTGGAAGTGAATCTCAGACATGGCGGTATTTCAATCATAATTATTTCCATATGCATCTATAAAACATGAAGACTCTTTTTAAAAATGCATTTGCAATTCCATTGTCATTTAGTCTTTTGTGGAAATAACTCATTTCTTCTAAATCACTGGTGCTTTCTTACCTGATTTCTTTCCGGATTAACAATTTGCAATAGCTGGGATTAGTTGTAAAATTTATAGGTAGGACATAAGGCGAAGATCACCATGAACCATAAACTTGCAGCAGCAAATTAAGTGATTTATATAGTTCTACTATGGAGACTCCAAAAACATTTTTATACACTGAAAGTCATATTTTTTATTTTAGTAATTCTAATTTTCAAGTCTGATGCCCAAAATGTAAATAAAATATACTTAACTAAAATAAATAAAATCCTTTCCTTAACACTAACATCTGATTCAAACAACATAATCTTAATAGTATTGCTTCAGTGGATGAATAAATCAGGCTTAAAGCCTATTTGGAATGTATCCAACATCAAAATATTTAAATATAATTTCACCAAGTTATGCCTAGAAACAAAATGTGCCATAAATGAAATAAAGCATAAAAAGAAGAGCTTGTATCAAAGCACACATTGACAGAAGCAACAATGTATACAACATAAAAAATCAAGTATATATGCCCCTAACAATTAATTCACCATTTTAACTGAAGACTCAAACTAACTTTAACTTCAAACTTCTGTAACATATGAAATATTCTATTAATGCCAGGTTAAAGCATCATCATGGTTAAGAAGCTTAAAAGGAGAAACTCTGATCAGACTCTCTGGACCTAAATCCTGGTGCTATCATTTATTAGTCAACTCCCAATGGGCAAGCTATTTGGCATCTCTGTGCTTCAGCTCCTTCGTGTTTAACATGGAGACAATAAAAGTACACACTCTCCTAGGATTGTTATGAGGATTAAATGAGATAATCCATGAAATGTACTAAGCCCAGTACAAGCATGTGATACATGTTAGCTATTATTATAACTTTTTAAATAATAATCTATTAATAATAGTAACAATAAAGTATTAAGTCTGTGCTCTAAAGTTTTACTTTATGGAACTAAAACAATACTCACCAGAATATGGGACTTTCACCAGGTTCTTTCACTTTATAGTATTCTTTGTCTTGTGGCAAAACTTTGGTCAACCCAAAATCCCCAATTTTAACTCTGTTCTCATTCTCCACCAATATATTTCTTGTTGCCAAATCCCTGTGGATATACCTTTTTGTACCAAGATATTCCATACCCTAAGGATAAAGTAACATTTTTCTTTCAGCTAGGTTTAGAAACATAGACAATGTACCCTTACAAAATCTAAAAAGCAAATCCATTGGCATTGCGTCTATTCAGACTCACAGCAATCCTACAAAACAGAGAACTGCTCCATAGGGTTTCTAAGGCTATAATCTTTACAGAAGCAGACTGCCTCATCTTTCTACTGTGAAGCAGCTGTTGGGTTTGAACCTCTGGCCTTTCTGTTAGCAGCAAAGCATTTAATCACTATGCTACCAAGGTTTCTTCTTACCCCTATAACACCAAAGAAACAAAAACAAAACAAAAAAACCTCACTGCCATTGAGTGGATTCCAACTCAGAGTACCCCCATTGGGTTTCCGAGGCTGTAAATCTTTACAGAAGTAGATTGCTCCATCTTCCTTCCCAGAAGCGGCTGGTGGGTTTGAACGGCTGACCTTCTGGTTAGCAGCCAAAATGCCTTACCCACTATGCCACCAAGCTCCTTTCTTACCACCATACACCCTTTCTGTTATCTAAGAAAAACTGTAGAGGACTTCTTAACAATTACTTCAATGTGCTAGCCTCATCTATGACAAACAGCCAGGATATTTAGTACCTTGCAAATCTGAGAAGTGTATTGCAGAAGTTTTTTATGATCTATCCGTTCTTTATGCTTTTGGAGATAGTCTCGCAAACTTCCGTATGGTAAGTATTCCATAATTAATCTCAGATTACGCCGGCCTTTTAACACAGAAATGGGAATATAATGTTTTACTTTGCCACGTTTTACTGACAAAAAAACTAGAAAACAACCACATGTAAATCATTTGAAGATATATATAATCTAAGTCAATAAAGCTTTAAGTTAAAGATGATGAAGTAGTTAAGAACACAGCCTTTTTTAATCAAAAAATAGTCATATTTTAGTCTTCTGCAGACTCTTTAGACAACAAAATAAACTAATGAGAAAACATCCTTTTTTCTCATTTACAGTGTACCAAAAGCATCTAATTTAAACTAATATTTTTATTGAAAACATGAAGAAAACTTTGTGACTTTAAAAAATGCTATTCTCTTGGCAAGTTTATACAAATGGTACACCATGACCATTGTCAGTGAAGAGAATGATTAACCAGTTGATTGCAGACTTCCTTCCTACAGTTACAGCCCACAGTCACCCAATACAACCTCCATGGGCGGAATGCTTTGCTCTCTGCCCACTGGCATATTATTAGTCCAGATCGTTAGACATTTCATTTCTATTTCCCAGGATGCCAAAGACTATCTTGAGTTCAAATAGGTTTCCGTGGGCAACATACCAGCACTGTAGCACACTCCCTTGTATTTCACAATGTTGTCATGCTGCAGGGATTTAAGGATCTCAATCTCCCTTTCAAAGTCTCGCAGGTGCTCCTCAGTACTGTGCTGCAGCTTCTTCACAGCCACCACCTCCCCAGTGTTGTCCTGCAGAGGGTCATAGCGGCACATCTCCACACTCCCGAAATTGCCCTAGACAACATTTTTGGAAAGTTCACTCTTTAAAGAAATATGTTCATTTAAGATGTATTAAGTTATATAGAATTAATTACATTTAAAACAAAGCATAAGTGTTTGGTATTAATCAGATTAGTATATTTTGGTTATTATTGCATTCTTAAAGAAAAACAATGTATTTTTTGAGCTCTAAAATTCTAAGTTCTATACTTAAAGTTATATACTTGAAGTATGTAACTTTTCAGTTATATATTCGAAATTTTCAGTTATATACTTGAAGTCAATTAACAACAACCTCAGAAACTGGACCATAGGCAGATTTAAAGTTAAACCTCTATTACGTAGTTTGGGAGGTGACACAGAAAGCTAGCTAAGATCTTGATTCTGGAGTCAGACAGACTGGAGCTAGAATCTCACTCTTCACTCCCTCTCTTAGTGATCTTGTGTAAGTCACATCCTTCTCTGAACTCAGTTTTCTCTTCCTTAAAATGAAGGATACTGATATATCTATCTTATATTGCTGCTGTGAGAAAGTATTTTAAAACATAAAAAGCAGGAAACTTTATAATAAAGTTTTATAGTTTTTTTCCCCTACTTAACAACTTCACAAGATAAAATTTATCTTCCAGTGCTGCTAAATACTCTGAAAGCATGATTTTTAATTGTTATATATTAAATTCTCATGTGAATATACTGTTTTTAAACTGAAATATAAATGCCCAACAATAAGAAAAGTTAATACACTCATGTCATTGTGGTAATACTCTTATTCATAATATCTGTGTATGCTCTATTAAGGATACTTTCTTACAAGTGGAATCAGCTTCGAAGGATATGAATTAGTTCAAAGGATATAAACATTTCAAAGGCCCTTGATACATGCTGGGGAGCCCTGGTAGCATAATGCCTAAGGCATTTGACTGCTAACCAGAAGACTGGTGGTTCAAACCCACCAGCCACTCCTCAGAAGGAAGATTGGGCAATCTACTTCCATAGTGATACTGCCTTGAAAACCCAAGGAGGGGTCACTTTGAGTCGGATCTGACTTGATGGCAGTGGGTGGGTGATACATGCTACGTCAAAAACTCTCTAGAAGAGGGTGCCAATTTGCATTCTAATGTAGAGTGGAAACGTGTTCATTTTATCATATCCCTGCCAATATAGCCATTATAATTCTTCTAAATCCTTGTCAATTTGGTAGGCAAAAATTAATCTTAGTTGTTTGGAATACTGCTATTTTCCTTTAGAAGTAGAACGTGAAGGAAAATACTGAGATTGAAGAGATAGATTTAGGATAAGTTAAATGTGCAGAATGGGAATCAGTGAAGGAATCAACTAAGGGTGAGTAAAAGAACAACCAGTATCAGAGCCCTCAGTGCTTAGCTGATGTTGGAAATCAATTTACGGTGGAGATAATTTATAAGCATGTTTCTCTTACAATGCTTGAAAGATGAAAGCAGAGATAGAAAAAAATGCAGAACTATATTGTTTCTATATTGTGAAATAACAGGGAAAATGAAGCAGATTACCAAAGGTAGGAGGAGGTTATAGCATAACTGTGGATATCAGTTAAAGTAGTTTAAGGGGTCTACCAGGAGATCTACCCAGTCCAGGAAAGGAGAGAGCTGGATCTAGAAGTTAGCTAATAGGCTTTTAGAAAACGAGGAGGTCAAAAACACTGGCAAAACAAAGATATCAAAAACAAGGGTTTATATGTTGGAAAAAGTCAAAAGACATAAAGTTATAGTCAGGGAGACTTCAAGGTTTGATTAAGTAAAGTTTTTAAAGGGAATTATAGACGTCAAAGTAAAATCACTTAACATAGATGTAGATTTGGGTAGATAAGGTAAGAAATTTAGAGGGCACTAAAAGGGTACCCAAAATAATGGCAGGAGGTGAAGTGAAGAAGAGAACAGTGAGTACCAAAAGTTCCTAAGGAATGGGGAGTACTGATCAGAATGTTGCTTTTAGATGCTAAATTTTGGAGTCATTTTTTACATGGCAATAGACAACTAATGCACTCAAATATATCTGGACCTTTTTCTTGTCATTGACATATCCCTTAAAAGTTTCCTAAGAATATTTTACAAACAAATAACAATAGCAAAGTATTGCTATAGCTAAGCAAACTTAATATAACCCCAATGTTTAGGTCTCATAAAGCTGGACAGTTAGTCTTCATAGTGCATCCTTGCCCAAATTCACTCTATGAGGTCACATGGTATAGAGCTCTTACTCTCTCTTCTCTTAAGCTTATCAGTGTAGGGCTCATTGCTATGGTTGAGCCTGCTAAGAACTGAGCCTTGCAGGTCTTGCTTATAATACGTAGTGTATACATGACTGTATGACCTAATTACATATAGAGATTGTATCTGCTAAAGAACATGGCCCAGTTGATGTCCTAGATGTGAACAATCAGATTATTTCTCCCTGAGATTATAACTATGGAAGCAGGTGAGCAGAAAGGTAGGTAGAAAGGCTTACATGTACCTTCTTTACCAAGAAAGAGTCCCATGGTCAAAGCAATTTGGGAAATACCACTTAATTTATTATCTTCTTAAAGATGTTCACTGCACATTACACGGCAAAGGCACTGAGAAGTTCTTCAGTAAAGAAAGGCTGTTTCTTTAACTCAGCATTTTTTCAACATCGGACAACTAAATCTCTTTTCTATGAACATCTCTTAAAATTCTGTGCAAGGTCAATCTCTGAGGTCCTTTTTTGTTTTCCTAAATAAAATGTTCTATGATTATACTCTATTTAAAAAAAAAAAACTTTTAACATCTTACCTTGCCAAGTTGCTGTAAAAATTTCAAATGTCTTTCTTCAAACTGTGTAGGGTCCCTGTCTTCAAAAGCACCAGAAAATCCTAGGGCACCTATCCTCATATTTGGTAACACATCATTTTCTGTTAATAGTTCATAATCTGGAGAAATAAATAATATTTATTTCAGATACATTCTTTGGGTTAAATTGACATGCATTCAAGTTGACCAAAAAAAATCAGGTTGCATTGGAAATATTAAATAATACAAGGGAAATTTTACAATAGCTTAGATTATATTAATGGTTACCTTAATATTAAATATATTAATGGTAGTCTTTAGTTATTACCCATAATCTAATAGGCTTTCAAGAAATATTTTTGCAAAGGATAAATGGTTATTTTCCAAAACAGGTGGTTTTAAAATTTATAAAGTAAGGCTATATTCTGACTTACATGGTAAGAATAGTAAGTATTGGACAGGAATTAAATATGGGCTTAAAAAAACATGTATTTTTAGCTCAATAATCCAAAGGGAGAGAAGACAAAAATAAATCTACCTCATGTTTAGAAAATCAATCAGTTATGAAATAATATATGGGAACTAGTTTTCTTAAAAAAAGAACTGTTTTAAAAAAGTCAGTGAAATCAAGTTAATTTCTATGCCATACAACTCATTCACTGGCAAACTAAACTTAGGTTATTGAAGGAGAGCCTTTTTTTAAAAACTGAAGAGAGTCAAAATATATAAAAGTATAAAGTCATATGCTCATCAGAAATCAGAAAGATGATCTGAAAGATACCAAGGTACTTCCTAGAAGAGATGAGAAAATCAGTAAAGATTCATTTAACAAGAGAAAGAGAGAGAAAGACGGCTGGAGAATCAGTAAGATCACTCTATCAGTACACACCTGGAGTGAACAAGCTGTTAAGATCTCGTATGATGGCTCTGAAAGAAGGCCTAAAATCTGGTCCATAATCCATACAATTGTTTATAAGATTTGCTAACTCTGTCCACTTTGGTGCAGGAAGTTGGTGTCTGTCTTCATAGAACTGTAGCTTCTACAATAAAGAATGAGCTGTGTGAGGTCATGCCAACCTTCCTTTTAAAATTATATTGGCTAAAAAATTAAACCGCATGAAAAAATTATGAAGGACCAGATAGAGTAATTCCAACTTCATAGTCTAAATATACATACCCTTTGGGAATCTAGAGCACTTAGAGGCTTATCTCCTCCACTGCAGATTTCCCACAAAGTGGTACCAAAACTCCATTTATCTGTTGCCAAGCTTAGATTTCTAGGATTTTCAATGCATTCAGGTGGGGCCCATGGTATTCGCTCCTGAAGAACTTTTAAATGATAGGGACAGTACAGTTAAAAAGGATCTACTCATAAATCATTCTTCCATATGCAAACAATTTTCAAAATCACTTCAGTAATCAGGGTTTTTTGTTTGTGTGCATGCTTAAGATCTGGAAAAGCTCTTTCAGTTCATCTAATTCAATCCCTTAGCTTTAATAATGATGGCATTGAGACCCAAAAAGGTTGAGTAATTTGGCCAAAGTTACACAATTGATTAGTAGCATGTCTTGGAAGAAGTAGAGCCAGATGCTGCTCTAAGGATGGTGAGACTTCAGCTCATGTACTTTGGACATGTTATCAGGTGGGACCAATCCCTGGAGAAGGACCTCATGCTTGACAAAGTAGAGGATCAGCAAAAAAGAGAAAGACCCTCAACGAAATGGACTGGCATAGTGGCTACAACAGTGGGCTCAAACACAGCCCACTGTGAGGATGGTGCAGGACTAGGCAGTGTTTTGTTCCATTGTACATGGGGTTGTTAGGGGTCGGAACCAATTGAATGGCACCTAACAACAACATGGATAGATTTAAAATCCTGTACAATAATTCTTTGATTCAATAATCTTCCTTCCATAAATCACAGTATCTCAATTGGCATCTCACTCTCTCCACCCCTTCCCATTAGCACTGTATTCAAAAAAGAAAAACACATTTTCTATAAAATGTATCCTAAAATTACCACCAGTATTATTTATATATATAGATTTCTTTACAATGTGTAAGCAGTAAAGGTAATATTGTATCATGCAGAGCTCTCCTAAATGATTCAGTAGCAGAGGCAATCCTGAGCTGCACATAAAAAGGTAAAGGCTAACAAGCATTCATTGCCATGGCAAGATGAATGACTGTATTATATTAAGATATTCTGGGTACAAAACTAATACAGGTGGATTCTGCTCAGACCACAGATTTTTCCAAGTAAATACTGAATCTGTGTTCTATGACTTTATCAAAAAGACAGTTTTCAAGTAGGGAGAGAGTAATATAATACCACCTTCTGGTACTCTGGTAGCAATAAATAAATATAAATGAAAAATAATCTATTGCTTCTTTTGGTCCATTTTGGCAAAGCAATGTGAATGTTTCTGCTGTATAATCAAGAGATTAAGGAGGACATTGGTTTTGTTCTCCCTCACCAGACAAAAACATTTCTCACCCTTCATCTCCCGTTCCATAGGTTAACATTTCCCTGAGTACCAGATCTAACAGCCTATAAGATCTTCTGCCTCATTCTACTGCCCTATTTATTACTGCCATACAGGCCATCAAGTTTAAGTACCATTGTCTCAAGATACTGTGCATCAAATGCATAAAAGTTGATCAATTCAGATACTATATTTAGAATACTCAGAGAAATTAACTAAAATAATAAAATACAATAACAATAGTATCTGAAGCAAAAAAAAAAAAAAAACATTCAACTATTTGACTTAAATTTTTACTTTTAACTAAAGGAAAATAACCAAACTCACTGCCGTTGAGTCGATTCGACTCATAGTGACCCCTTTTCGGGTTTCCAAGGCGGTATCTCTATGGAAGTAGATTGCCCAATCTTCCTTCCGAGGAGTGGCTGGTGGGTTTGAACTGCCAGCCTTCTGGTTAGCAGTCAAATGCCTTAGGCACCATGCCACCAGAGCTCCTAAATATGTTAAATAGATTAACATACACAAGAGAAAGTTAAAAAGTTTTCAAAAATTAGTTAGCTCAGTGCTTAAACTAGTTAAGATTTCACACTAGATAATGGCTTCTTAAATATTTGTTTAGTGACCATAACCCCCTGCCTCCCCTAAAAAACTTACTTTCATATAGATTCCAACTCATAGCAACCCTAGTGGACAAAGTAGAACTGCCCAATGGGGTTTCCAAGGCTGCAAGTCTTTACGGAAGCAAACTGCCTCATCTTTCTTACAAATAGCGGTTGGTGGGTTCGAACTGCCAACCTTCTGGTTAGCAGTCAAATGCTTTAACCACTATGCCACCAGAGCTCCTTTTAGTGACAATAGGAAATGAAAATGCAAAACATATACTTCTGGCTCAAAGAATATTAGAAAATTTCACATTTGAGAAACAGAAAATCCTAGCTTCCATATGTGATTAGAGATTTAAAATGTTTTTTAAAAAATCATTTCACAGATTACAGTGACATGCTTATAAAAAAAGAGAAATGGACAGAGAGTAGGATGTAAATTCTACTTAATTTAGACTGCTAAAAATGATAGCTAGATTTTTTTTTATTAATCAAGAATATATCAATGAAATAGAATACAAGAAATATTAACAACATGCTTTTTAAACTACCCTCCAGATAAAATTTAATAAAGGTAAATACGATCCCTATAGAACTTACTGTCCTTTGGTAAAACTGTAATACTAATGCCAGGATCACTAAGCTTGATGAAAGGAGGATTTCCTGTCTTCCTGTCCTCTTCTCTGATAAGGAGAATATTTTTGGCACACACATTCCCATGAATAAGGGCTTTTTCTTCCTATTAAAGTTAAATGCACACACATACACATATCAATTCACAAATATTTGAGCACTTAATCTGTCTAAATTGCTAAAATGGATTTAAGGAAGAAAAGTATATAAGATAATAAAAGTTTTATGGCAGCACTTTACTTCCTATTTTACATTTTTAAAAACACACTAGTTTATGCCCATGATGAAATGTAAATTAAAATTACCCAATGCTACTTCACTTGTGATTTTAACAGTCTGCATCTCTAGATGGTTGTTGCTGTTATGTTGTTATGTGCCATCGAGTCGACCCCGACTCATAGCGACCCCTCCTTGGGTTGCCAAGGCAGTATCACTACGGAAGTAGATTGTCCAACCTTCCTTCCGAGGAGTGGCTGATGGGTTTGAACCGCTAGCCTTCTGGTAAGCAGTCAAGTGCCTTAGGCACTATGCTACCAGAGCTCTTAAAAACTCACTGCCATGGAGTCAGATTCGACTCATAGCAACCCCTCCTTGGGTTTCTGTGGCGGTTATCTCTATGGAAGTAGACTGCCCAGTCTTCCTTCCAAGGAGTGGCTGGTTTGAACTGCCAGACTTCTGGTTAGCAGTCATATGCTTAGGCACTATGCTACCAGAGCAGGTCTAGATGGTAGTGGACATTAAGAAACTGTCTCTGTTCAGCAGCCAGATATTGGGGCTGTACCTTCCACTGATTACTGGCTGGCCTGCTGGTGTTCCGCTCCTCAGGCAATACTGCGTTCTCATTGTACATACACCTGATTTGTCTACAAATGCTCTAGCAAGTAGGGCTCCTCTGTCATCCACAGTTGGCACAACATGCTTCTGAAAATTTTTGGTTAAATTCTCTAAACCCAAATGACACAAACTACAGATTGCCCATCAGGAGTTCTGAGACTAGCAGGATAGCAAAACTATTTTAAAAGTGATTTTACATAAACAAGTATATGCCTAAAATGATCACTTTTATCAACTAACACAAATTATTTTAAATGACTCAAAATTCATTTACAGATTTATATTTCATCTCTAGGCCAAGATAATTTCTACACTGCTTCATAAGATAAAACAGTAAGTTTTTGATTTTTTTTTTAAAAAGGTACTAATTACTTACTAGAAAATGCATGGCCCATGCCAATTGTTTAGCCACTTCAAGTTTCCATAATATATTTATAGAATTTTTATTCTTTTTTAAATATGTATCTAGTGATCCATATTTCACAAACTCTTGAACCAGGATATCTGTATTAAAATATGAGGAATAATAATAAGGCTAAAATATGCATATAATAAAATATATACAACTAACCTCCACAAATATATTTATAGTTACATGTGAGTAGTATAGGGAAGGAAACAAAATTAAGCAAAATTCACTAATTTAAAAAAAACATAGTCATTATTTTTGTTTTTTAGTTTATTCATAACAGCAAGAGGTAGGAGTCTAAACAACATACATTAATATAAAAATACTATAATCTATAATGTTGTACTGTTTCAGCACATCTCTGTATTAGTACTGGATTACAGCTGCTTTTTAAAATGAATAAAAATTTCTCACATAGTGAATTTATTTTCCACAAAATTATTAAGATATTCAAACCTTCCTTAAATTTTTCTTTCACACATAAAAAATTAATAGCAATATTTTATTCTGTTATTAGCATGAGAGAACTGTACTTCTAACTCCTTTCATCCTTTTAATTTATGCTGCTAAAAAGCAAAAATGCATATTTTTCATTTTAACCATCTTCTGCATTTTAACTTTACATACTGATTTCCTTTTTCACAAGATATAACTGAACTGTTCCACAATATTTTTACTTTCAACAATATTTAACTCCTAATAAATTGTGGTTTATACTGACATCTAAATATGATCCTGAAAGAGAACTTTCTTTGTGAACAATGATGGATACTCTGAGAAAGGCATGAAAGTAACATATGGAAGCCAGTGGTTTTACTTACTTTCCTCTCCACAGACACATACTCCATAATTTAAAACCAGATGCTTGTGAGAAAGCTGGCTCATCATGCTTGCTGCTTCAAAGAAAGACTAAGAAAAAGAAAAAGATACAAAAAGTACAAAAGTATTATAGTTTGATGGTTGTCTATTAGTATTCATAATTCAGAGAGCTACTCTCTTGCCCTAAGAGAAGTATACCATCTCCTCTCAACAGGACTATTGGATGTGTTTTGGTTGCTTTATAGGGACTTGCAACTGCCATCATCCTTAATGCTAGGGTACATTCTGAGGAAACCCCTAAGTAAGCCTCGAATATGGAGATAGAAATGACAGAGAGCAATAGTGATATGGGGTACCATGAATGATGCAAATCAAACAGGTTTAAAACCATAGTACCTGAAACAGAGAGCATTGGTACAACTAGAGGTGGACACCAGAGATGGTAATATGGGGCTGAAGTGCATGGTTGGGAGTTTCAAATGCCACTTCTTAAAGAAGAAAGAATGGTCTCTGTGCAGATAAAATATCATGATACCTGTCAGAACACTGGTATGGTATTAACATCACTCTAACTCAACTCAACCTTACTGGAACTACTGGGGTATGGCTGTTTAGAGCATCATGATCACCAACAGTGTGGATCAGAACACCATCTTCTACTAACAACCTTCAAGGCATTCTAAGGACCATAAATGCTTCTCAGGTGATGCCTTGCTATGCTCAGGGCTCTGGTAACTTGTAGCTGGGTTGCTGCCTAGGTAGCATCTCTGATGATGGCCAGAGGCATCCACATTTTACCAAGAGTATCCCATAGTACAGAGTCTTTCAAACTTTTGTTCTAAAGGTAGATGACATTGTGGAAATACCTCTATGGAGCTCATGAAGCTCTGGGGAATCAAGTTTGAAAACTGTTGCCTTGGTACAGGAAGAGATACAATAATGCCCATAAACACAATACTAGAAGTAATTAGCTTGGAAATAAGATATCATTATTTAAAAATTCTGTAATTTTCTATAGCTCCAACAGAATGCATCCCCAGAAAGGACTATGATATATACACAGTCAGTTCTTATTATTTGCTTAGTTATGCTCTATGAAGTTGACATAAACACCAAATTAGCAAATATTAAACCATTGCTCTTAAGGCAGATACAGGATTAGAGTCCTGTATCATTTTTGAGTCCTGTTTACATTTTTGTCAACCAATCAATACATAACCTCGTTTTATGTGGGTTTCTTCTGTTTAAAGGTAACTTATTTTATATTGTTTCATCAGTAATGAACTCACAGCCAACAACACTATAACTCCTGCCGAAACAAAGCTTATCTAACTTGTATTTCCTCTGTAAGGCATATCACACAATCTTCTTGTGCTTAAGGAACACAAGAGAGCACTTCAGCACTATACCAGGGGATCATTTTAAAGGCAAAATCACCAATAAAAAAGCACAGAAATACAAAAAACATGGCATTAATTATACTATGAAAAGGACTCTTGTTTACAGTATTATATGGCTGAAATGAGAAGGGAGAACAATGCCTTACTAGACCTCAGCTGGGACCAGTCTCACTGGGTGACTTGAAGTTTTTGCTGCCATGTGCACGTACATGTCTGTGAATGACCACAGAACTGCCATGGGTACTTACTTGGGGGCTTCGAATAAATTTAGCAAGTAAAAGAATTCACAAATACAGAATCTGTGACTAATGAAAACCAACTATATTTTTTAAACGACTATCTTGAAAAGCTGCATGCATGAATGTGCTATAAGCATATGACAGCACATCTTTCAACATCTTAAACCACATAAACTACACATAGAACATACAAACCTCTGAGTAGTTTCTATGTGCTTTATCCAGAACTTTTAGAAGAACCTCTGTTTCATGCCTTTGACCATAGTCTCCTACTTCTCTTCTTATACCTTTGAAAATTTTTGTAAAAGTGCCTTGGCCAAGACTTTCATTCTTTAATAGACAAAAGGAAAGAAGAAAGGGTAAGGAAAGAAAGATAAAGTAAAATTAGGAAATAGGTACCATGACACAAAAAGAAAAAAACAATCCATAGCAAAAATTTTCCTTACTAACTAAACCCAGATTTGAGACTCCAAATTAATTAATTCTTCTATTCTGGTTTCCTATATAAAATACAGAAAATAAGGATTAATGAGTAAGGTCTATTTTTGCTCCATCCTGTTTTATACCCTTTTTATTTGCCATAATTGTTACTTTTTAACGTAGCCTCAACGTTTACCTACACTGATTTACATATGCTTCTTTTTTCTTTGTTTACCTTACTTACCTGCAGTAGAAAGGCAATACAGTGTTCTCTGTGGAAGCTGAATGTCTGTCTGACTTGTTGCTAATTATTACTTAATAGTACTTGACTGCTAACCAGAAGGCTGGCGGTTCAAACCCACCAGCCACTCCTCAGAAGGAAGGTTGGGCATTCCTACTTCCGTAGTGATACTGCCTCGG